AGGAGCGGGGGCGAGAGCACTACCTTCACTGGTTAAATTAAAGACGAATGCCTACCTGCTGAACGGGAAGAGTAGAGCGGTGCTGCTACTCGCCGAACAAACAAAGGGGATGTAGCTACACCCCAAATCAAGAAGCTTTACACAAGCTAAGACCGGAAACTGGCTTCTAAAGAAAAAACAGCACGGGAAACTCCGGTGCTTAACACGGCGTCAGCCGAGTGGCTGCAGCGCTACTGCTAACTAGCTCAATGCTAATGAAGTTCGCAGAATAAGTACAAAAGCACAGCAAGGGCAACTCCTGGGAGAGGGAGCGGAAACACCTCCGTCACCATAAAAGTTGAAGCCCAAAAAGCAAAACAGACAGTAACGGGACAACTAGGCTGGGAGAGGGAGCGAAAACACTGCCATCACCAACCAAGCCGACACCAACCTGTCCGAACGAAGTCTCTGCGCAGCCAGCCACAGCTCCTGGAGGACGGGTAAACCCGCGGCCCCGACTGGATGAGTCGCGAAGCTGCACGCAGCCAGCTGTTTGCAGAGAATCCTTAACAAATATTCCAACCGAACGAACGCTGTAGGCTACAAAAAATGTAGCCAAGGTACTCTCGTGCAGCGAGAAGATGAAAGGAACAGATCCACTGACGACACCGGCTGATATAGCCGGTGTCACGTGGGCCACAGGTGACTTTGTTGGTATTGGTACTCGAGCTGCGCATGCGCGCGATGGACACATCCAGTGCTAAAGCACAGCCTCTGGCGGTCAGTATAGGACGAAATAGAACCCACAGTTTAAAGGGAAAAATGGGAGAAACCTCAGGGAGAGCAACAGAGGAGGGATCCCTCTCCCAGGACGGACAGATGTGCAATAGATGCCGTGTGTAAATTGAAAAGATAATACATTTGCAACATAGGTAGTCCAAATGTTTGGAAATGCATGTGTGTATAATAGGAAGATGAATCCACGAGGATATCCATCCAGGACCTATGATCCAGGACCACAGCCACGACTCAAGATCCAGGGCTCGCGATGCAGGACACAGGACCGCAGGATCATCCATGTCTCCGGATCCCAGCGTATATAGACACCAAAAAGAAAGACATTTGGGGAAGCTGGGTTAATCGGAACATGAGAGTACACAGGTATAGACAGAGAGAAGGAAGAAGTAAGATGTCCCCCGACAAACTAAGCCTATATCAGCAAAACTAGGGGCTGAATCTAATCAGCCCAAACTATAAGCCTTATCAAAAAGGAAGGTCTTAAGCGCACTCTTAAAAACGGATAGGGTGTCTGCCGCCCGAACACAAACTGGAAGCTGATTCCACAAATGTGGAGCTTGATAAGAAAAGGCATGGTAAATGGTAACAATTTGACCAAAACATATCACCATGAAACTTCCCCAGTTGATTACTAACTATAGGATTTTTTTTTTTTGTATTTTAGGTTTGTATGAATTGTTTATTTAAATATGGAAATGACGCAACACAAATCTGACCATTGGATATAACCAGATTCAAAATGGTGTTCCTTTTTCATTTTCATGATGGAGGTAAAGGTTTTTACTGAGGTCATTGTTGAGGGATATCTCTTTGTAGTACACCATCAATCCAAAGATTACCGTTAAAAGTCATAATAAATGTATGTTTTGGGAATTAAATGTTCGATAAATCAGGTTCAACCATGTGACATGTGCAGCATCGCTGGATAAAAAGGTATTTGCCAGCACTTGCCCTCTTCAGCCTTCCTCTCCTTGTTGGCCGACATAATGACAGTGAGTGTGAAGGCACTTTGTTAGTGATAAGAGTTAATTACAGGCTGGATATGAGCAGCCTTCAATCAGTGCACTGCAGAAACAATCCATGACCTCCTCCGTCTCATCCCTGCATTCCTCCATGTCCCTCCCTTCAGAGCCTACAGGAGTCACACTTTACCTAAAACCAAACCACTTTACAAAAAAAAAAATTCTACCTAAGAGCAGGAATGGAGATATATGTATAAAGCTGCATCGAGGAGGACATTTATCTGCAGGGTCTTTATTGTCATACAGAAAAATATACCTATTGTCTAATAAGGCAGTCATTTCATAAATAGACAATTTTGCATATCTAAACAGCTAAGATAAAACAAACAACTAAATTGTAGGCCCTGAAATGTATACTTCTGACAGAATGGTCAATGTTTCAAAGATTACAAAGAAGTCCAACATTGGGAGAATATTGATTTTTGTTGAGACATCATGTGTTTCCCTCTGCCGATGCACACAATCAGTATAAAGATTATTACATTTTCTTCAGTCTTAATGAGATCATGGGTCATTTAATCATGGATTGTCTGAACACCAGCTCCTGATTGGTTGGACATCCCTGGAGCTCCTTTAATTATTGGTCCAGATCATTTCCTCAGTTGAGAAAATCATTAAAATGCTACTACTTCGATTCCTACAAACAGGACGAAAAACATCTCACTATTTAAGCCAGCTCTCTTGTTCTTTGTTTGTGAATAACTTTAGTGTGTGGAATGTGCTATATAAATACAGTTTGATTGATTGATCAATTGAGTATTTCATCTCAATGCCACAAAAAAACATGAAATAACAAAATGTAGACACTAGTTTAATTTACTCATATTTAAATGTTTGGATCTGGCTTCATTACATGCTGCCAGTACAAATTGAAATGACACATACATTAAAATGTGTGCCTTCTTTTACTCTAACATAAGATTTAAAAAGGACCTATCATGCTCCTTTTCAGGTTCATATTTATATTTAGTTATTCTACTGTGACATGCCTCCATGCTTTAATGTTCAACAAGATTGTTATTATTATTATTATCATACTGCCTGTGCTGCAGCACCTCTTTTCACCCTCTGTCTGAAACCAGAGCCCAGTCTGCTCTGATTGGTTAGCTGGCCAGCGCTGTTGTGATTGGTCAACAGCTTAGAGATATCCCGCCCCTTAGCATATCACGTACAATGTGTTGTAGCGCTAGCCAATAGAATCTCAATTGTTACATAGTGATGTCACTACGTTCACTTGAATCACACAAAGGAGTGACCCAATGGAGGCGTTTCAGGCAGAGGGGGGGGTTGTGGAAGAGTAACCCCCCTCTGTAGGAATCACAGGGATTTTAGTCTTTTACATAAAAAGAAAACTATACGACACTATAGGAAAGGGAAAAGCATAATAGGGCCTCTTTAATTCTGTGTATGGTCTATTGATACATTTGAAAAAAAGGAGTTGGAAGGAAGTTTGCTTTAAAAATATGATGCAGATTTGGGTGATGATTTTTTATACAACAGTCAAACCAGAACAAAAGATCCACAGTTAGATTAATGCTGCAACAATGTTCATAGATATTGAACGCAGACCGAGTCCGTTTCCATGCCATTCTTCTTATCATTCTTCAACAACTCAACCAGAACCTTTGTAAATGCGTTGCTGTGTTAAGAGGAATTAATCATCATCTCAACAGGAGAGTGATGCTCGCAGCTTCAGCCAGACACAGGCCACTCACATTGTTAATTTCATTACCTCGCCGAGATGAAACGAAAAACTAAAGGCGGAGAGGGGGGAAGAGGGATGGATCTAGCTCAAACCGCAACATCCGTAAAGAGATTCTTCAATATTTCAATTTGCTGCGCCTTGTACTGTTCCATGGTATGCAGTTTAAATGGAGGACATTTATGATGCAAATGCAGGCAGGAGCTATAAATCTCTCTTGCTCTCCTCTCCTGCGCTCCCCTGATGCAAAATATGTGCTCTCTCCTTTTCAGACACACATATACACACTCACACTGAGGCGCTATCCCCGCACTCTGCCTAGCTTTCTCTCCACTGCAGCATCGTGTTACACTCGCCCCCTGGCCACATGAAAAATTAATCTGATGCAGTGAGGGAGTAGGGAGGGGGGAGAGGGGTGAGAGAAGGAGTAACAGAAAGGAAGACAGGGAGAGAAAGACCCCAAAAAAGTAATGCTTTGACTTTCCTCAACAACTTCTAGGTCACTTTAATTTGGACGATGATAACTCAGTCAGCCGCTTAATCACACACGTGCACGTCGCTACCCGATCCGTACCGGAAACCCGGTGCATATCTGTTCCTGCCCGTGATGCTGACTGAAGCATCTCGAGGCAATTTACAGCATTTTTGTGGGATTTCAAGACAAATATGTAATCTTTGGTTTGTCTAGTAGTTATGAAATAGAACAATTAAAACTGTTCCTTTTTTTGGTAAAGAATGTCTAAAATATGGGGCTTTACCAAAGAAAAGCTGGTGAAATTATTGCATTGCTTTAATAGGGTCATTGTTAAACTCATTCAACTATGAAAAATGAAATACTTTATATCATAATGTACACTCATTAAGATCCTTTTGAACCTAAGACACTAACAGTGTTGTAAGATTTACTTTACAATTATTTTATATTTACATTCATTGTCAGTTTTGACACGTTAAATCGTGTGTTTTGTATGCACCCGTTCCTATTTGATCTTCGTTGGATTTCTGAAAGCCGTGTTCTCTGTGGTATCGGCACTTTATCAACAACACCGTAAAACGAAGTTGGTGACAGGAAATAGTGCAAACACACACTACTGTATGTTAAAATAATCCCAAAGTATCAGGTTGTATTGAAGTGCTATGCTCTTATAATGGCCGCATAAAGAATGACTACAAGCAACTCATATGTTTACATTTTTTTTACTGATAGGTCTATAGTTTCGTATTAATGTACGAGTGATGTATCCTAATTACGTAATCCGCTTATATGTATTGCGTTACTCCCTGGCACTCTTCAAATAACTCAAAGGACAGCAGTTCAATACCCTGTCCTTTTACAAAGTGAGCTTAAACACACAGCTAACTGGAGCATACACAGACTACCTGACATCTGGGTGGAGTATTACACACAAACATCTAGGGAGAAGCTTTAATTAAAGAGCATTTAATGATTTCAGTAACTGCTGACCCCTTGAACCCTCTGTGCTGCTCCTCCTCACCAGGGGGAGGTGGTGGATGTGCAGTACGCCGGCGTGGACGACCTCCGGAGAGCCAAAGACAGCCTGAACCTCACCAACCAGATCGCCCTGGTCAAGCTTGGCCGAGCACCTCTACTGTACAAGGTACGATCCAATCTAACCTCTGCTACCGCTCTGCTCCGCTGATAAGGGAATTGCATGCATGTGATTTAACGCTGTACTTGAGATCTATCTGATACTATAATCCTGCAGCAGGGAAACATTCTGAGGAATGAGATCTTTTGATCTTTAAATAAGTGCAAGGTATGACTCAGAAAATGATGTTCCTGAGCCTTTAAACTAAATCCTTCCTGATCTCGGTATTTTATTATACTTGCATCCAGTCGTACCTCACTGCATTTTAAAGTAAGTTAATAAAGCCTGCTGCAAACAGATTTGTATACTGGCCGGTCATGCATCACTTAATCTTCATTTTATTTCTTCAATAAATGTATCATACTTGACTCGTGTATCCGCAGGAAAACTGTCTGAATCCATCCGTCTCAATAAGAAGTAGCATTAGCGACGCACTGATAGATTAGGCCTTCTCCTGCTTGGGTGTGCGCCCACGTTCTGCTCTAAGCAGTTTTCTTATCAATTAGAAGATGACAGGGAAAATATATATTCCAATCCAGTTAATTAAAACATAAATATCTACTTACATGTTAATTACTCACACATTCATCTTCAGTTTCAATTAAACTAAAAGTAATTTAATTATGCAAATGTGAAAACAAACTTAATGTGGATGAGATGGAATATTGAGTAATGGAAATGTTTACTGAGAGTAGCTTTGATTTTGTCCATGTATGTCAGATGTATGTCCGTTGACTTTGAATTAGTAGTTAAAAAAGCGGGAAACTGTAAAATGATTGTATTCAATTATAATTATGTTTACCATGTTAAATGATATTGATATCCTTTCATAACTGAGGTTTAGATGCAAGACGGGGAAAAAAGCTTTTTTCCGGAGAATCTGAAAGCGTTGACTTCATGCTTTGTGCAGTAAAACCAATACCTGTAATGCGATAGAGACTGTGATGACTCAACAAGCATCCACAATCTGCATCTAGAGAAAGGTTTATTTGGTGGTATTTAAATAATATATTCGCCTGTATGTATCAAACTTAAAACAACTTATATATTGCTAAAAGCTCTGGGAAGAGCCGTTGGTTGTTCCAACTAATGTCTAATATCTAACTATCTTTTAACAGATAAACATTTCTCCCTCCATTTCAACTGATCAAAGTTCAGCCTCTGATAAACACAGAATCTAGTTTAAAGCTCTGGAAAAAGCTTAACAAATGAACCTGGTGCTCGATTTGATTTGGAGCTTAAATGCACTTAAAATGTTATATGGAGAAAACTTTGATGTAAATATGTTTTTGGCCATAAAATTATGTATCCTAGTTTCATTTAATTTCCCTTCAGTTAACAGATATGCAGTGTATATGTCAAGGGATTGTATTGAATTATCAAGTAAGCTAACTAAGTTAACTACGTTATGTATACATGTCACCACTGCCATGTAAGTTGAGTATGCTACGTAACTTGAAATAAGTCACCATTAAGCTATGGTTTCAATCTGGACACAAACAGCATTGTTTTGGTATTTGTTATCAGGGGGTTTCACTTTTGCTTTCAATCATGTTTCACCAGTTAGTGGCTGTATTTTGCAGATAAAGGTGTGAAACTCTGGTTAAAGCTATTCTACTCTTATTTGAAGTCCAAAATGTCCTTTTAAGTAGTTAAATAAATGAAGGCACTAAAAATAAAAGAAAGCAGTTTCCTCTGCTTTATTCATTGAACATTACTCTACTTCCGAATGTGAGGCTGGTGAGAAATGACAGACTAATGAGCCATAACAGGAGTAAATGGAGGTTAAGAAAAAAAAGTAGAGTAAACGTTCAAAGAGGGGTCAGCATACTGCATTTGCATTCCTACAGTTAGAGTTTTAGAAATCCATTAAATCAGTCTGCACCTCCTGCCTCATGGGAGCGGGCCAGCAACAGCTGACCCATTTTTCCTGCTCGCCCACAGTTTGTGACAAATTTGATCATGTGTGCTCCATAATGTCTCTGTGTGTCAGCAGCTGAGAGGAATGATCGCCCTTTACGTAGAACTGGGGAGGAATGATGGATGAGCCTTGTACCCGCACTAATGATCGTGTGACGGTGACCGCAGGCCCAGTGTTAACATACGCTACACTCATATTTAACACAAACATGGAGCATACGTTTGAACCATAAGTCATTTAGTTCCATTAGTACTAGCTAATTTGAGAATCACAATATAGAATTGGGATATTATGTTATAATATGTTTATTGTTTTCTTTATGATTAATGGTTTTCCACACATTTTACTAACACGTTATTTAATACGTGTATATGAATGTCAATCATGTATTTGTGTGCCTTCTGTAATCATGTAATTGTGAAAGTAAAGGCTTTCACACACTATAGGAACATGATCATGCCAGGATACGGACAAGCACATTTTTCCTTGCTTGAAAATATTATGCCTCATATCTATATGTACTGAGAGCGATGAGAATTAGCAACGGTTAGAATGGGTCTTCTTTGGCGTTTGTCTTTGGACCTCCAGCTCTGTTGAGGTGAGCCAGGCCAACGTTTCATTGTCCATGTCGATCAGACCACGGTATTCAATGACCTTGATCTTGGCCGTGGTAAGTCCTATCGCTAGGCATTTGCATTTAGCATTATTTGAAGGTGCTGCCTGACCTGAAATAACTATGCTTGTTGCGGTCTACAGACGCGGGCGGTCAAGACATTACTTGACCACTTTTTAGGCTTATAAGCCCATACGCTACTTTTAGGGGAGGCCAAGTAAAGGATATCGTTTTCCACCCTGTGTTGTGGGCCGTAAACATGCCGTGTTAAACCGTCATTTCAATTGTTTTCAAAGTTGACGCGCAGAAGGCAGTGCTCAACATTTCAAAGTAGTTTACATTTTGGAACTCAGCATACATGGGACATGGGCCAAACAATTGACGCTGACAGACTTCCTTAAATATCAGTTTACAGGAGGAGTTGTTTGTTTATGTGCAGGGTGATCAATACCCTGACTATAAGATCTATCCAGTGTTTCACCTATATTCATTTCATGAGCACTGCTGCTGATCATTAATAACCTCTGCTCTTGTGTGCAGAACCCACCTACACTCACACCCACAAAGCAGAGACATAAACAACATTTTCTAGGGAAAGCACTTATATTTATTAATACTTTAAAAAACAGTTTCTGGATTAGATCAGAAGGTATGGTTAGCTGTTTATAATTGCAGTTCAACTTGCCTTAGTGCCCTTGAAAAGTTGTCTGAAGAGCAGACACCCAACCACCGACTCACGGGCCCTGCGTCTTCAGGCGGTAAAATACGCTGCATGTGTGCGGCTCTTTATGTCTAGGGATTCTAGGGAGGCAAGAATGGAAGGAGTGGATCTGGTATAAGCTGCTTTAGTCAAGGATGACAGGATAAAGAAGGTTTCTGTTTTTGTTCATTGAGGTGGATTACGAAGCCTCAATATTGTTGTTTGGATAAAGGCACAACACATAACTAATAATTGTGTACTTTACTCAAATGGATTGGTATCTACCTTTTATTTGCAAATAATATTTATAAAGAAATGGCTTCTTTATTTGACGTGTAAAAGTCATGCTCTGTGTGAGAATATTTATGTCCAACAACAGTTCAAACTTTGTTTTGTATTGACCTGATTAAAAGCACGGGGGAACAAATATAAAAATAGTAAAGGCCTTCAGTATGCAACATCATGTGATTTTGTTCATGAGCAACAAAAGTGTGTTAATTTCAAAATGAGCAGAACACATGGTAAACAGCGTGTGTATGGTACTTGCATGACGTTCTCTGCTTTTTCGTATTGTAAGTGGTTGATAACCGGTGTGTGTAAAGTTAAATGAGTGTGTGTGCTTGTGTGCAGTGTCTGCAGTGAAGGACAGAGTTGTGATGAGAGGAGGTTGACCCTGGTTGGTGTCACATATTCAATAAAATACTCATCCACCCTCGTAAAAAACAAGGACGCTACATTTCCCATGGACAACAATGAAATACTGCTGTATGCAGCCCACTGCCTCCCACCCAGCAACTATTCTCTCACTGCCAGTAATGTGGGATGAATAAACACCTATGCTACGCAGTGTAACCTTTGACAGCATGAGAACCACAACCAGCCATGGCTGGTGAGGCACTGACTCTTTCAGAGTCAGATTTACAAATATCATATTTTGACCATAATCGACATATTCGATTATTTTCAAAAGCTTTTTTAGTCTGATGCTTCGATTAATTTTAAACGGACCGTTCAACAAAAGGATACCCAAAATCTAAATATTGGATTGTTCTTTCTTAGTAAGATCCCATTTTCATTACAATTGGGGTCTTACCTTCACTTGAAGATGAAGTCCATGCTATCCTTCTGGACAACAATCTCTATTACTTTTTTGTAAAAGTCCTCCTTATCTTCCTCTAGTTTCAAAAGTCTAGTTTGTTGTTTGCGTCGCGTCTACCGCCATGGTCTACCCATGGATGTATAATAAGAACGGGTCTACCCCGTCTCTACGTAGAATAACAGTAGCAACAAGAACCTGTGGGCTCACTTGCGCCCCCTTCAGTGCGGCAGAGGTTATGGCTGCCTCCCCTGGTGCTTTTTTCATTGCCGTTGTATGATGAGACCAGCGAGCCTAAATATCATATATACGTGAAATAAGTTATTTAGAGACTATGGATGGCGAGGATAAATGTAATAAAGGGATCTACAAACATTACATTGGTGACCTACAGTGAGATGGTGCAGGCATGCGCTTAGGGCCCGCTTTCCAGACAGTTTCTGTGGGGTGACGCATTCTGAGGTGAGGCAGAGCTCATCTGTGCCTCACCTCACCACACAGTAACTGGCTTGAGCGTGCTCACAAAATAAGTGCTCGTGCTACATTAGTGCCCGCGCTCCAGCCAGTTACTGTGGGCTTACGTGAGGCAGAGCTCGTCCCTGCCTCACTTCTCATCGCTACCCGTAGTTGTAGCGGAGGAGCTCTGCAAATGTGCTGATTTTGACTATAAAAAGCGATT